CTTTTCCATCTCTTCATTCCCTGCTAGCTATTGGGGTAGCACCCCTATGAACGGCCTATATAATCTCAACCCTGGATACCCCCTACCTAATTTCTGCATAGCCTTATATAGTTTAGGGTTTGGCTACCTAATCCCTGTATAACCCGGTAACATCCAGCACTTGGCAGTAGGCAGCTGCTGACCCAAGTCTCAATGGCTCTCAATGTCATGGTCTCGAAGCACGAGCCTCGTCGCGAGCCAGGTATAAAGGGAGCACAAGAATGGGAACCCCAAATAGGGAACCCTAAGAGTATAGAAGGATGAGAAGGACGCTGGTAGGTATTAGTAGGTATAGTCCTAGTGTACTCTTGCTGTATTCCTGCGGTTGCCTGGTTTGGGGTTACCACTAGAGTTCTTCCAAGGCAGGTGCTTAGTATGAAGCACTAATGGCATCTATAATGCTACATGGGAGTTACTGCAAGAGAACATAGGGGCATCTAGCATTACATAGGGTGATGCTGACTACGGGGGCAGGCAAGTTATAACCTTCTTGTAGCTTGAATGTTTTCCTACCTAGGCTGAGAGGCAGGTCAATCGCAGCCGCCTTGGAGGGTCCGAAAAATCATCGTCACCCGTGCAGGATTAGACGAAGATGGGGGGGTTCTCTTTTTAGGAATCTGTATAAAACGAAGATATCATTGCTTGGGGGTATGTAGGGGGAAAGCCACCGGCTCAAAAGTCCAACGTGGAACATTTTATTCCTTGAGTGCAAGGGCCAAAAATTGCCAATATCACGGTCCTAAATTCCTTGTATAGCTATGGTCAAGTAAAGGGTACCCCAAAGAAACCTCGATATGGTACTGGTAGTCATGTAGGCCGCTACAATACGGCTATTGGATTGCTAGTTTTGTGCAGCTTCGCGGCATTTGGCACAGCACTCTAGCTCCTCGCCATTCCTGCGCAAAGGGGGGATGTTCCCCGAAGCCTAACTTTGGGGTTCCAATATGAGGGATGCTTCCGCTTCAAGGGATTGCACAGACCTTAAGTTTCAGCATGTCGAAGTGTGCCAAAACAACACACACACCCCCCCCTCAGAATTCTCATATGAAAGGTCCTGCCGTGCCGCTTTAGGATGTACATCGGGACCCTCACCTGAACCCTAAACCTCAATGTGTTCAGGATGCCAGGTTGACAATCGACAGGCAGACAGGCAGAGAAAGAGAGAGAGAGAGAGCGAGAGCGAGAAAAATGGAGAGACATGGATGCTTGGGATCTTTCATTTGCTGAGCTACTATGCCACTTCCCCTAGGCTGTGATGCACATCAGAAAGAGCAAAAACAAATTACCGACCTTCCAACTTGCCTGCAGATGTAAAGTCCAACTGCCAGCAGAGCTAGCCGGATTGGAAAGCTCCACCGCAGGCTATGTATCAGTATTATGACTAGTACTACTACTGATACTACTATTTCTAGTCTTATTATCATTAAAATAGCTGGTACTATTATTTCTAATAGTATGATTATCTCTATTACTATTCCTTTTATAGCATCATATAAGCTGTCCCCAACTTGCGGTGGCAAAGACCAGGATTAGCCAAATCAACAGAGCACTACATGGTGGGCAACAGCAGGGCGGTCAAGGAGGAAGAATATCCGCGGTTCTCATCTTCCTGGCAGCAAGGAGGGGCGTTGCGAGTAGCAGGATTGCAGGCTCCTTGGAAAAAAGAACAATGAATGGCAGGGCAAAGAAGTCATTCAGGCCTATACAGTTCCTCCACCAACTTCCAGGCAAGTTTGCAGCATACACAAAGCACATGGACTTGTCTTAGACCGCGACATCTTCCAGGAATAGGGCTTTTTTAGGGCACCGATGTCGTTTACCCTAAACTCTAAACCCTTTACCCAAGAAAATTACCCTAAACCCTAAACCGTGTTGGGTACCATGGTTGTAAGGTCCCACCTGCTTCCTCTGCTCCTGCACTGCCCGAAGGCCAACGGAGTCCCCGCCACCAGCTGTCTTTCGCGCAGCCCTGGCTCTCCGGGGATTTTGGCTCCCTTAAAGGGGATATACGGGTTGTATAGGGGTATATAATAAGGGTATATAGGGTTTATACAGGGGTACATAGGGTTTAGACACGCACATCGCACAAGCAAGCACGGCAAATACTGTCAAGTCCGGAGCTACTCAACTACACACTACCATCCAACAACAGAACGCTAGGGTTTAGGGTCTGGGGTTTAGGGCATATACACCTGCTGCTAGCTTCTGAAATCTCCGCCGGGTCTTCAATCCGATCCTATCAGCTGGCCGGAGTTTCCTCAAAACTTCGCTGTACGGAAATCAGCTGGAACCAGCATCCTCATTGTGAGCCCCCGTCACAACCTCGAGCCAGCAACACTAGGATGGTCTTAGGGACTCCAAAAAAAACAAAGTTTTATGGTAGCTTTATGCACAGTGATTGCATAGGGATTACGGTCCATAATGTTTACACAACTTTTCCCAGATGATGAGAACAACTCCCCGACACAAGGCCTGGCGCTGCGCGCATGCCTCAGTCCACGGCTAGCGCAAGTCTGTCTGGGGTGTCTTCCACAAATGGAGGCCCAATGGAGGCCCCGCCGTAAACCCAATCTACTATTTCTCTTACTATACGAACTCTTAAAAAGGGAACCATAAGTTTCGCAGACCCCCATCTCCAGACAGGATGGAAGGCGACGACAGGATCTTCCTACAGCTGCCGCCCGTACTGCAGGCTAGAACTACAACTACACGCTACTCCTACTACCTGTACTACTTCTTCACCTTTTAACAACCGCGAAAACTAACTTTGCAACCAGAGGATCAACTTTGGCAGCCCCAACCTCCCACGGCATGCACCCCAGAAATAGCAATACCATCCTGTTGTTGATCCCTTTCAAAATGATCTCCTCAAAGCACACGGGAAGACCTCCACCCAAAGCTGCTGTTTGATGTGTAAAGCACCCGAAGTGAACCCAGATCTTTGAGAAACGTCGAACTGTCTGCAAGAACAGCCACGGCCGGCCCAGTGGAGAAGTGAGGGAGAGGGTGCCTGTGGTGGCTGCAATTTCAGGCTCTCAGCGGGGTTTAGGGTTTTCGGGGTTCAGGGTTTAGGGATGTTGATGGGTGGCTTGACAGAGGCCATGTGTGAGGACTGGAAACGCGCAGGAATATGAAGTGTGAGGAACCTGCTTGGTAACCGTACCAGAATACTCCCGCAGCCTGACGTAATTACTCCTTCTCTCACACCATCAACTTGCAATCATCTCCGTAGTCGGGACATGTCAGGACTGTCCTGTCACCTACGCCAACACAAGCATGTAAAGATCCTCCTTACAGCTTGCGAAGCCCTTTTTCCTGAACCCTAAATCGCTTTTGAGGTGTTCCCGCCTGCTCGGCTCACCGACCTGTGCTTGTCGTAAGTCATCTTCAAGCAATGTCTTTGACGCGACTGCACGGCCTGGCAGGTCGGATGGATCTTGCTGCCAGCCAGGTTTGGATGGTTTAGGGTTCAGGACTACAACTGACAACTACCAAGAAGTAAGAAGAAGTGTCAGTCGAAGAACCGTGCAGGGCTTAGTGATACTCTCAACAAGACTAAGACTAAAATCGCAGCAGTGCAGACTTTGCTATCCAAATCCCAATCCCAGGCAAAGCTAGAATTGCACCTGGGCACATTATGAAACACCAGCATATATAACCTGGTTAGAACTTCTAGCTTGTGTTTTCATACTTATGGAAAGCCACTGTCTTTTGCAAGTGTCCGACCTGCTTGTACCCTCTGACCTTTTTTTTGTAAATGAGTTTCCTGGCTCCTACACTAGGGTCATTAAGTTTTTCGGGTTACAGAACCCTTTGATGCAATTTCAGGTTTCATTTATGCTTTTCAATCTCTTCTCCATTAACTTTTGGGGGGTTCTGTCCGCGAACCCTTTTTAAATGCCATGAGTCCTTAAGAACCCCTATAATCCCTATGTAAACACTATATAACCCAGCCTACCCATGGCGGCGCAGCTGCAGGCCATTCCCTACAGCTCGGAGGCACCTGGGCGTCCCTTGAAGAAGCGCTTCCATGGAGTATGGCTGGGGTGGGGCGTGTAGGCCCGCCAAGAAGTGCGTTTCAGTGCTGAAAGATGGGTGTGGGCGGCTAGGGCTTAGTGTTTCGCCGCATCTGAAGCTAGGAGACGCTGGGAGTGGGGTGGGTTTTTGATATGGGCCTCGGGTGACTGCCCAGAGCCTCCGTTTAATCCCTGTTGCGTGAACCTGAGCAGCAGCGGATAGGTTGCAGGGTTCCATGCAGTCATATCAGTCACAGCAAGTGTAGCACCAGCCTGACTGGCATCCGGATGAGAGCAGTAATCGAACGCTTGCGAACGCTTGCGGACGCTTGCGAATGCTCCGCACGGATTTCCTGTCAACTCCCAACCCCCAGACCCCAAACCTCAAAACGAGAACCCTTCTGCTGCGCATTCGGGAAAAGGTTTGTCCACAGCCCAACAATGAAGGGGGAATGGGACAACAGAAATGCCATAATAGTAGCTGGGTTTTGGAATAGTTCTTTATCTGGAATAGTTCGTTGTTTGGAATATTTGTTAGACTTGTCGCTATCAGTAGGCCTGGCCTCTGATCACAGAACCAGTGCTGACCTTGGCATACTACCTCCACCCACTCGCAGGCACACACCTAGCCTTGGCCGCTCGGAGTACAACAAAGGGCAACTGACTCTGCAATCTAAGAGGAGCAGAAGCAGCCGCTTCTTTTGCGATCAAACGCTGGGCCACATGCGACTCTTGCCGTTTGGCAAGCACCGCCTTTGGCAAGCCCCTGCCCCTTTGAGGAGAAGCTGCAAGCAGAAACTGGCCCAGAACACAGCGGCGATTAGCTGCACCGCATGTCTGCTTTGGTCCAACGATTCACAACTATGACTAACGCTTTCTTAACGTAGATAAGGGAGAACCTACCCTTGCAAACCGTAGAAGCTGAGGCAAAGATGCTGCAGGGTTTCAGGACTCCTCCTCACTCTCATCGTCTCCTGACCAGGCAGGTGCCAATCAGACATTAGGTACGGTTGGATTTTAAGCTACTGCCTCCGAAAATAGAAAAAAGCCTCTATACCCCACCTATATTTGGATTCCTAGGGAACCCGGGATACACACACATACACACAATTTCGACATCCCTATCTCACAACTACTTGCCATTTGTGTGGCTGCCACTGACAAGTGGCCTCCAAACATCACACGGGAAAAGCCACTGTTCTTAACAGTTGCTTCTCACCCTAAACCCTCAACCCTAAACCCCTAGACCCCTAAACCCCTAAACCCTAAATTTGTCAACATACCGGGGAAAGCCGCGGTCGAAAAGTGAGTAGTTTCCCTAAATAAGGGACCCCAAGATAGACCCTGAACACCGTAATCCTTATTATGGGGACCCCCAAAATGGTACCTCTATTTTTTGGAAACCACCAGTTCTGTGTAAATAAGCCTACCCGGTCCAAACAACAATTTCTTCTGGTTTCTAAGATACAGTAACGGAACTTTACCTAAGGCTGCAAAAAAGAGCGATCCCCTTTTGATTGCTCTTAGAGCATGAAGACATCTTGCAAAAACTTCGGAATCTTTGCCTAAAAAATGAACATGCTTCTTTCAGCAGACGAGGTTGTTTTTTTGCCTGCCTGCATCCATGCTGCCGGAGACATCCAGGCCCTTTGCCTCGTGCACCAACTCCTCCGGTGCTATCTACAGGAAGGCGCACATGTTACCAAAGACTTGTGTTAGCTATGACAGTAGAATATTTAAGACTCATGACAAACTTGGGCTTTCCCCTAGCCGGACCTAAATTGACTCAAGCTGTGGGGTTGAGGGTTGGGCGCGTAGGAACTAACAAAACCATGCGAGACACAAGGAGCTGAAGCGCCCTATGGAATGAACAGGGGAGGACATAATCAGAGATTACATAGTAATCAGGTCGCATGGTGGGGGGTCTTTACATGTGTTGTTTTCTGATGAGGCATGGTGTCAATGAGCTCGGCGGGGGTAGATCCTGTAGATGCTGAAAGAAATGAGCCAACCGAGGGAGACCCTTTCTGCACAAGCATGAGCGATTGTGATGTAGACATTTGTGCTCATCACTCGCTCTTCGTGCTCAAAAGAGCCTACAATGCTGCGGCGACCCATGCTTCCAATACACATGCTCGCAACAATACTGAATTTGGGAACAGCTGACTTCTGAGAGATGCTCCGTGGTCCGAATGTCCGAATGATGCTGAGTTGATAGCTGCCATTTCAGGATCAACCATAGGGCCTTACCAACACTGGCGCGCATTGACATGAGTAGACACGCCCCGTAAGGATGGTGTCCAGCTGGGTGACGACAATACCCACAGACCTTCCTAGCTCCGTTTGCTGATAGACGCTTACAGTCCTACGGTTTATCACGGAAATCTTGCACCACTCAGGACCCTTTCGATGCCGTAAAATACATGGTATTTGGGGTGGTGCAAGATTTCAACCATCCATCCAATCCCTATACTAACCCTATAATATTCCCAAAATAACCCCCAATCTACTATCACAGGCTTTGTTCCTTTGCGGAATTCCCTATACTATCCCTATAATATCCCCATATAAACCCGATTCCTAATCCCTAAAAACCTGAATCCTAAAGCCTAAACCCTAACCAAGCCATGGCGGATGGCCTTGCCGTAAACCTTGGCGAGCTCCACCAAGGACACGCTGCCGTCCTGTAGCGGCTGGCAGCTGGCGTACACGCATACACCATAAACAAAACGCTAAACCCCGAAACCCCGAAACCCCTAAACCCCCAAACCCCTACACCCTATCACTGTCATCCCCTTTGACCCACGATATTAGGTTTTAGGGCTTGGGGTTTACGATTAGTATAGTCTAAAAGCCTAGTATCCCCCTTACTAATCACATGGAGAAGAACATGGCACATGAAATGGAAGCTGCTACACATAAAAAAGGTTAATATAAGGCTAGATTTGCTATAGTCTAAACTCCTAACATCCCTCTTGATAAGCCCTATACTACTCCCCTATAGAAGCCCCTTTAAGGAGTTTATTCTTAGACACACAGGCATAGTGGTACTGGCATTCCATGACATGGGAACCCTGCACCCGCAGGCCTTGTTCTTGTCCACAGAATCGAAAGCATTCTGCAACATCTGCTGGTCGCTCGCGGTGTTTGCACCAAACAGGTGCTCAAACTCCTCAAATTGGATACAACTGCAGTGACTGGACGCTACGTAGAAGGCGAAACACCCCGCATGCAGCTCACGCAAGCACCTTGCGCTCAATGAATGTCCAGACCCGTGACGCCAAATCAACATGACTCTTTCTCCCTATGCTGCGATCCAGGGGGGGGTAGGTAATATTGGGATAATATTGGGACGGTATAGAGTTATATGGGGACAATGGAAAATACAATGGAAACTACTGTATTATTAAAGGGTATGTATTGGGGTTATATAGGGATAATGGAAAAGAACATGGAAACTACTATAATATTAAAGGGTATATATTGGGATTATATAGGGATAGTCGATAATAGAGTGGAAACTACTATTTGAGCCATAGTCTAAACTCCTAGTATCCCCCTTAACAGCCCCTATAGTTGTCCCCTATATAATCCCGTATATAACCCCCCTTTAAGGAGTTTAGATTACAGCTCATTTGGGGTTGAAGGGTTAGACGGGGCTGCACGCCTCCATACTGATGCTGCCATTGGCATCGGCATCTGCCGCAGAGAACCTGGGTTCTTGTTGAAATACAATTAAAAAAGATCTTTCTTTATTGATATTGAGCCCAGGTACCTATAAAAATGTAAAAAATTGTTCTACAAGAGCCCAGGAGCGCTGTAGCAATCTGGCGCTTGTCCGAACTCGAAGCTGTGAGCGACAGGCGGCCTTGTGTGCATTCAGTTTGTTGTTGGCCAGCAATATCCATTCCCAACGGATACCCTTCAGTAATATATTAGTTTCCATTTTCTTTTCCATTATCCCTGCATAACCCCAATATATACCTTTGATAACACAGTAGTTTGATGTGTCCTAGGCGGCAACTCCAATACACAATCCAAGCTGCCAAACTTGGAGGGGTCATGCATTCGCACCCAAAAGGGTTGCGGCACTTGCAAACGGATGTGGGAAGCAGGTTGGGCACACACCGAATTTAGGTCCAACCTGCATCCAAGCAGCGCTTTGTGCTGATGATGTAGGATACCTGAACGACACCACTCCCATGTTTACATGGATCCTGCTATGACTCCATGGTCACACGATCTTCATGCTGCAAACACCACAAATGGGCTGCACAATGCTAACGAAAAGAGGCGCGCTCAAGATGGGCGGAAGTAATGTAACGACCAACAGGAAAACCAATATCATATTGAAGTTCATTTGAGGCATCGTATACCATAATCGTGCAAGGAATCCAGCCCGTAAATCTGTACAGACCCCGTCTCCATCCCAGGGTCCATTATCGTTTCAATTTGATTTTCCATTACTAGGGTGATATCCGTATTATATATCCTGCGTAATATCCCCATAGAACCCCTATCATAACATGCCCATATAATCCTCAACATACTATGCTAGCTTCCTTTTTCTGTTTCATTATTCCCTATACAATCCCGCTACTATCGCTGTATTATCCCTATAGTATGACCAATGCATGAGAATAGCTTCCATGTTCTTTTCCATTACTCCCTATGCATATCTGTAGAATATGCTTGTATATAAGCCCTATAAACCCTTGCATATCGTCATAAAAATCCCGTATCTCCCTTTAACGGGACCCCCTTTATAGTCCCCAATATACTATGTTACTATGGTAGTTTCCATATTCTTTTCCATGATTGCCTATGTAAAAGCCCTACACCTAAACCCCTTTATGTTATGAGGATGCAGACCGAGCCACAAATTCCCCGCAGTGAATCTTGCCGTCAGAGTTTTTGTCCATCTGGGCAAAAACTTTCCTTGCAGCCGAGGGGTTTAGGGCTTTAGGGGCTTCAGGGAGTTTTGAGGTTTTGTGGGTTTAGGGTTTGGGGGTTAGTTAGGCTGATGTCTTGGTGAGTTGGCTTCCGCTAACTGTGAAAGCCCCCGACATATACAAGGACCCGAGAAAACACAACTGGTGACGGAACCTCAACTACCCCAGCCTTTTCTCTTTCCAAGATGTATTCAGAAAACCCCAAACCCATACTCCCTAACCTTTGCGGGTTCAGAGGAGGAGACAACGGTAGGGGCACGCCATTGCGGGAATGTAGAATGCTTCTAACTTCTACACCCGACACTCCAAAAACTAAGGTTTTAGGCCCTTGTTCAGCTTCGGCACACTACGGCCAAGCCATTGTCCAAGGAGTCTGCCGAGTCTGGAAAGAGGATCCGCCTGCGTTGGACAAGCAACAGAACCTGTCCAGACAGTACAAGTAACACATATGGGTTACATGGAGATATCCAAGGGTTACACATGGGGGACACATATATATATATGTATCTAGACAGAGCTAGAGGGAGAGAGAGAGAGAGAGAGAGAGCGAGAGAGAGGGAGGTGCAGGACGCAGGGGGCTGCGAGCTTCGTTCTGCCCCGCGGGCTTCAATGGGCAAATCCTCTCGGATAAGCGACGCCTTGTACGCTGAACTCTAACACCCAAAGTGTTCCCGCACCCTGAACCTTGCAGGTTTCCCGCTGGGCAACTGCGTCGCTTCGTGAAACGACTCTCTACAAGTCTGGCAAGGGCCAAGCCAGCCAGGCTCCCTGAAAGTTATTGAACAAATGAGAACAGCATGATCTCACTTTGCTTCCAGTTGAGCGCTGTTTCTTGTGTTGTTCCCATTGACATCATTTGAAAGGCTTCTCGGGTTTAAGCTTCAGGCCCTATGATTGACTACAAAGAACTTGCACATGGAACGGTACAATAACGAACTTTCTTGGCAGGCACGCTTCATAGCCTCCACCCCAAGCGCATGGGGCCAGGATAAGCAGAAGACTTAACAAAAGGGATAGCAATTCTGACAGTACTGAAAGCTCTACATATACGTTGCCTGCATCCCTGGTTTTCTTATATCTCCTCCCCCTAGTTCGTAACAGCCCCCAATTCCAGCCCGCGAACACATTTTGCAAAGATACGTATGTGCGCACGTACATACATAGTCCTGTACTGTATACCGGCACCTTATTCAGAATACTCATTTTCGGGTGGAGGTGGGGGTCGTCATCATCGAAGGCCCAAGACCTGCCACGTAGCTTTAGGGTAGGCTTTAGGGTTACCCGAACCGCGCCTGATATCTGCCAAGCGAAGAAAGCCACGCTTGTTAACATCTGCTTTCTGAAAGACCTGCATCAGGTCAGGGAATACCACGGTCAATGCTAATGATAAGCTTGCCTGATCCTATCTGCCCTACACCGTAGGTATTGTGGTAGTTTAGTATTGTGAGGTCATGCAGGACGTCGACCGCCAACAGTATTCAACATGCGTAGGGATTCACAAAAGTAAGTCACCTTAAATGCGTCCAAATAAGCTGGAGCCCTGATCAAGAAGCGGCCCATGACCTAAAATCATTTTGCTGCAATGCCGAGGCAGAGGAGGCTTACAATTGATCAATTTTACTTACACCAGAATACTAATCATGGGTCTACATTAACCCTAAACCCTAAATAGTAGCTTCCATTTTATTTTCCATTATCCCAATATTACCCCGATATAACCTTATAATCCCTATATGCCTCAGAACCTATGCGTCCCGCGACCTCGCAACTCTCCAGCCGCTGAAGATCAAACTGACTAAGCGCTGGCTAGCTTAAAAACAATTTCAGAACCTCAAGTTAAGCCAACTTGTGACGATTTTCTTCATAAACCACCATTTAAGGTGAGGTCGGGTGAGGTTTCTATAACTTGCGCAATAAACAAGCACTTGAGCAATCCTTCTTTGGTGGTTGACACCAGCACATTTCTTCCGTCTTAACAGCCAATAATGCTAGAGAGAATGCGTCCTTTTGGCTCAATGTCCCTCCTGAAGACCGGTTAGACATAGTACGAATCACAAGTGTTATGTACAACTTGGGCTCTTGCCTACCTAGCCTGAAACCCTATAAACCTACAACAAACCCAGCTTTCGTTGCACGTTCCATTTTCTTTTCCACCCTCTTCTCCACAACATTGGGTTATGACTGGGGCTTTCCCTACTCTATTCCACTGATGTACACATATATAATTTATAAGTACTTAGCTATATGTGTCTCCCTGTTTGAAAATTCCACATGTCATAGTTTCCACCGTAATACAGACCCCAAAACGCGATGATCCTTATTATGGGTACCCGCAAAAAGGTACCCTAGTTTTGGGAAAACCCTAAATCCTAACAAATCCCTGTGTCATCCTATATATCCCTACATGAGCCCTAGAAACCCGTTTATCCCCAAACCCTAAACCCTAAGCCCTAAACCCTAATCCCTTTTTGAGGGAGGACTCTCTGACGTGCCTCCAGCCTGCAGCCTCCTCAACTCGCACTGGTGTCGAGCTGCAAAACTCGCAACGAGAAAGATTAAATCCTAATCCCTAAACCCTAACCCTGAGGACATATGAGCTAGTCTGAACTCCTAGTATACCCCGTAATTAATAACCCCTAGAACAGTCCCCTATATTATCCCCTTGAAGGAGTTTAGACTACAGCTCATATATAAATTTTCCCAATGTGCAAATCTTGGGCCTCGCGCAGGGCCTGGGCGTTCAGCAGCTGAAGGCTCCGAACCACGCCCGGCAGATCAGGCTCCTCGCCTAGGGCTTAGGGTTTATAGGGTTTGGGGTTTAAGGCTTGGGGTTTACGGTTTAGTGTTTAGGGTTTGGAGTAAAGAGTTAAGGGTTTAAGGCTTAGGGTCAGGGTTTAGGGTCTAGGGTTCAGGGTTTGGGGTAGAGATTTTTGGGTTCTGACAGGCATTCTATGGGGACATATAGGAACGGGGCTTAGGGTTTTAGGCTTTGGGATTTCCAGGGTTTACGTACGGTTTTTGCGGGCTTAAAACGGGCATGCAGGGATATTACCCCAATAACGGAAACTCAAATGGAAAAGTACATGGAATTTGGATCTATATTTGGCTGAAACGGCTTCTGTCATGGTAGGCAAGAGCCCCTGTTACAGGGTCAAAGGAGCAGGAACAGCAGCAATGTCGGCGCCTAAGTACTTGCCCTGTCATGGTCCAAGGTCCCTAAACCCTAAGCTCCATTTTTAGGGTTTAGGGTTTAGGGAACCCTTGTGGTTCTCAGATGGACCTCAACGTGATGGTGGTGAATGTCTATTTAGGCCCTGTCTTTTGAGGAGTAAGGGCAATATTCATGCTCATCCCGCCCCTCAACCCCCCCCCCCCAATAATGCATAATTCCCATTAAATGTACATATACATAATGGGGGTAGAGGATAGTTGTTATTAGGGAGTGGGCTGGGGTTTATTTCTAGGGACAAGGCATTCATCGTTGAGGAAGTCAATCAAAGGCGTTGGTCTTTGTAGTAGCCGTGGCAGCGGCGGCGGTGGTGATGGCAGGCAGCGGCGTTTGTGGAGGAGAAGTGGTAGCACCACTCATACCAACTGGGGGTAGCGCAACAGGAATGAAGCGCAAGGTGAACAACAAGCAAATGATATGCAAACAAACACCAGCTTTTCTCTCAGAGTTCCTCCATCCTTTGAGGGAAGAAGCTCGGAAAAGAAGTCTGAGAGCAGCTCTGGGGGATCTGTTAGGAGAACCCCCGCTACCCTGTAGGTGGTCGAATAGGAATATAACAGGACCCTAATATAATTCTAAACTATCCCTTATAGTCACTATTACTGGGGGGGTCCACCCTGCCACGTTGAAAGTTCAATGCTGCATGGGAAGCGAATGATCCCCGAAAACTCGGCCAGGATGGTCTCGCAAGGCCCCAAATGACTGTCTTCATAAGGTGTGGTAATGTAGACCCATGATGAATAAACCCCCTGTTTTTAAGGGCCTTAATATTAGGATCCCTATTGTGATCCCCATTAGTGGGAGGGGGGTTATTAATCATGTTATTACACATGGGTCTGGGTCGCGGCTGATGACTTGCATCCTTACGGATATCCACCCACATCCTCATTGACATGCTACAGTCAGTATATGGGCGGCTTCCTCAATAGGGACTGTATTAGAGACTATACGACACTACAAGAGGGGCCCTTGTCCACTGTTGAGGGTGGCCTAAGAAGCCTAATATCGACAGACCCTAATGCCTTAAACCCACATGTTGACAAGATGTCTAGCAGCGACAGCAGACACTCGCAACGCGGGCATCAAAAGGTCGCTGGAGTCTTGTTTCTGCTTTTCACTTTTAACAAAGGAAGGATAATATTATTACCCAAATAATAGAGAATCAAATGAATCATGAATTGGAAGCTGGGGTTTTACAGGGGTCCGTACGAATTATGACATGCAGGGGCCTAAATGCTTACCAACATCATGCTGAGCTCTATTTGAGGTGCCGTATACCCTTATCAGACCAGAACCTCAGGACCATAAAATTGATTATCATTTAGCCCCACACAGTAAGCAAATGAAACATTGTCTCAGCAACTCAGAAACGCACCGCAAGGTTAGAGTTGCCAGGTAGGGTTTAGGGTTGGTTCATTGGGCTTAAGGTTTAGGGTTTAGGGCCACTATTAGGGTGGAAATCGGAACCATTATCTACCTGGTGCTTAGTTTTTAGCAGCAATGGATCTCTAGTATCTCCTTACAGTCCCCCATAATAGTCCTTCTGACCCTTTCCTGTATTCCCTGCTAAACCCTAAAACCATTCACAGCTTTGCGCCTTTAAGGTCGAACTCGCATTCAGAAATGTCCAACCCGCCAGAATCAGCGCTGGGCCTCAGCACGCAACAACAGCCCAGATTGTGCAGGATTTTTTTATGGTTTAGAATTTAGGGATTGCAGTCAAATCGGGTATCTGATCTCCAGACCTGTGATATTGCAGGGGCCTAAACAACCTGAAAAAGCTCGTCTCCGGGTACATGATGTTATACTTCGAGGTTTATAACCAGCTTACTAAGTCCCCATGACCCTCCAAGCAGCTCCATAAGGAGTGTAAGAGGACTGAGATGGCTGACTACATCATGTCGTGGCAGCTTCTGTCATACTTAGAGTCCCCCGTAAGTACATAGAATATGGCTTTGGGCATATTATAATAAGATCCCATATGTCCCATATTCTTTCTACGTAAGGGGGACTATACACGGTTGACAGTTAATCGAAAAATGTAAGGTTCTTGATTGTCTACTATGGAGTCATGGACTCAAATCCTCTGACCCGCTGAGCACAAGACACCGGATGCTGGAAGCCTTTGAAGAAAACATGTATGCTGTAGTGAACATTTCCTACATAGTTGAATGGACATGGGATCCTTACTTATTAAGGACTATAAGAAAATCACAAAAGGGACCCCTATGTCCACTATTAAGTGTCCCTTAGTAAAGGCCTTGAAATTCAGAAGCCATGCGGGCCCCGACCAACACCCCCTATAGAGCTGACAATAAACAGGTTTAGGGTTCAAGGGGCATGAGAGGACTGCAAGTACTTGTCTCAGAAACGGCATACCCATAGTACCCCTTCGTTACGATAGCATGGGGGACTGGATGAGTGGGTAATGGACCCTAGACCGTCAACCCTGGACCCTAAGAAAACATTCCTGAGACTCCGTCTTGTAGCGATCTGCCCCTGATGGTTTCGTCTCTCCCTCCAGAAGCTCCTCGTTCTTCGCCCGCATCTGCAGTTCCTTACACAGCGAAATGGACATGAGTGTCAGACTATGACACCTTTCTTACACCCTCAAACCCATAACATGCGGATACGGCACAGCGCGATCGGACATGTCTGTGAAGCTGAAGATGAAATCAACCTGGTCTGCGTGGCCCGAACGTCAAACCCCTTCCGACCGCATGCACTCCAAGATGAGCCCTCTATACAAGGACTGTAATGGAGACCCCCAAACAGAGAAACCCAAGAATATAGCATATAACAGGAATATAAGGAGAATGGTAGGTATATACTCCCATTATATTCCTAATATATTCTTGGGGTTCCCTCTTTGGGGTCCCCATTAAAGTCCCCTTACTCTAAGGGCCACGCGAACTCCTCAATCTGAATCCTGCAACTGCAGAGTCTCCAGGACGAAGTGACGCAGGGGTTATTGATAAGGAACTTAGACTAAGTCACCATATGATGGGTATATATGGTATATGGGGTTGAGAGTTTAGAGCAAACTCGTAAATACTGGGGCTTCCTTATCATGGTAACTTAATTCAAGTTCCTTAGCAGCAGCCCAGACGAAGGGGAGGCCAGGGTAGGGCGTACCGGGCGTTAGGCTGTAGATATAGGTATCTCCAGAAATATTGGTCCCCCTTCTACATCTCAAAACGCTATAATTCTGCGGATGCGGCCTTTCAAAAACGGGACCCCTAATGGGAGAAGTCCTCTTGTACGGATCCTGCTTGCAGCTAAGAGTTGCTTTCAGTTCAATGTATAGTTACCCTCATTTCCCAGGGTTTCTCAGAACTAGGGATGCTTTTTTGGGGCTCCAAGAAAAAGCATTTCTAAATTTTGGGGTCTATATTGGAGTCTCCCAATTTTGGGAAACTGCCAAGCAGACGCTCCAGTGTGGTCGTAGAATGTCGTAGAGGCATGGGGGGCTTCTCCAAACAATCCCTGCATGAGATGAGGTAACCCCCAAACGAGTCCCCTATACAACTCCCTGTATAGCCCCCTTTAAGGAGCAATATGCTCCCCAACATAAACCTTAAAGCCTAAACCCTAAAACTTGGGGTCTGAATCCCTAAACCAGTATTTACACCTGTATACTTACCCGAAGAGCGACGGAGTCCTTAACCCTAAACCCCAAAGTTCATGTGAGCTATAATCTAAACTCCTAGTATCCCCCTAATGTCTCCACTATAGTAGTCCCCTATATGGGTGGTTGTCAAAATTCTGTCCCTTTTTGGGTCCCTATTATAATACGGCACCTGATATTTAGGGAACCCAAAAAGGGATCATAATTTTGACAGCAACCCATATCCACCTTTGAGGAGGCTGGTCTAAAGCTTAGATGGACATCCCAACCGGGACTAAAGGAATCAACATGAATTTTGGGCTAAAAGGCTAGGGCTTAGGGCTTAGGAATGAATTTTGGGCTGGGCTTAGGGTCTTCTATCTGGTTCCTTACGGGGATACGGCCAGCAGTCCATCTTGGGGCTTCAAAGATTAAACAGTCCAAGTATTGTTCAACCAGATTCGTATTGTTCAAGCGTACTATAGCATCGGGGCTCAAACCAATCATCTGAACGAAATTGTGGGGATGATGAGGCCGAGATGGCTGGCTGGTAGGCTTCTATGAGAAGATTCAACAATTCTTGGTCATCTGCAGCACACTGCGCCTCTGATCCTGGTTGGCGTCCATCTTGGCAAACAATCGACTGACCTTTTGCATGCACATCGATTTCCGGCAAGATCACAATTCTCTATTTGAGAGACGAGTAAGGACAGTAGTTCGCGAAAGTGGTGGCAACCAGTCTTGCCAGGTTACCATGCTGACGCGAGGTTTAGATCCCGCCCACTCTCCAGTCTCAAGAGCCACGTCTGATTCTACCATGGGCGAGATTCTACAATCGGCGCGTCATCAGCTAAATGGTGGACATAGAAAACTTCCTGAAGGTGTAGAGCTGACTGTAGCCAGGCAGCCTCATCTTCGGAAATGGAATCACAGAGTGCCTTCAGCACATTTGAAAGCTCCTTGCATCAGGGCTGAGGATGTTGCATGGTGCACCCAGGACCCATCTCCATCCAAGCTTGCCGGTTGTCTTCAGATTTCAAGCTTTTCTGATTTGGTACCGGGGGGGCCTCGGCCACTTCTCACATGTACTGTTGGTTTTCTAGACGCAAAGAACCACATAATGTCCAGCTTCGGACAAACCGGCGAAGCTTTAATTCTGGGAAGGTTAAGTTCTTACACCTCTTTGCGATTCCACCATTTGCATTTGTTACTGCGTGGAGGGTCAGAGGCACTTAGTAAGTGCGTTAATGATGGGGATAACTAAGATTACTCTGTTGGTTATAGGGCTTCTTAACCTCCTTAATGAATCCCTCTGACTCCCCAGACCCCCTAAAGGATCCAAAAAATGGAGCCCCCTGATCATCCCCTAGTTGCCCCAATGTAGTAATGAGTTCATATTGGGTGGGTTCCACTTTTTGGATCCTTTAGGGCGTCTGGGTCTCCAAGTAGAGCCTATTCAAGCAAGCCAAGTCTCGCCATGGCTGATGGAACCATCCCGATTCAAGTCGTAGCGCCGAAAGATCTCTTTGATCTTTGCCTATTTCAAACAGGGGAATCCCAACATAGACCCCCGGAATACTATAATTCTTATAACACCTTACACTCCAAACCCTAGACCCCTAAAAAGGAACCCCTAGTTTTGGAAAATTTCCAGGTCTCTCAGTAGGGCCTCTCTTTAGGTGGTGGTCCTCCCTGTACATCCAAACAGAACAATAAACCCGAACAAACAGGATCCTTAAAGTCATGGGTTGAATTAGTACCCCCCTCTATACTACCCCCCCTAGGTTCCCCCCTTAATTAAGGTTATTTAGGGATAACTAGGGTTAATTAAGGGGGAACCTAGGGGGGGTAGTATAGAGGGGGGTACTACTTGAACCCATAATAAAGGGATGGCTCTAGTCTGGGAGCAAAAGGGCCGTCAGGCCATCGCCTACAACTTACTGGTTGTTGGCAATACACTCCCGGAAACTAACATGGAAACCCAAAAAGGGCTCTAAAAAGACTACAGTCCTTCTAGATGGGGGCTATATGGGTTTCCATGTTTGTTTGGGGGAGTGTAACTTGCAAAATGAAGCGGGAACTGGGGGGCTTATGGGATATGTAGGGCTAAGGGTTTAGGGCAAACCTTCTAGGTAACCCTGATCCCCTCACCCTTCTTGAGACAAATAGAACATAGGATGGAGCAGCGAGGATGCAAAACTACTGGCGTGCGATTTTGGCAGCCAGCAGGCAGGTTGGAAATGAAGAGCCCCGAGGTAAACACAAGACCTTTACAGCCGGTCTACAAGAGCTCCTACACTGGAAATACCATGATCTCAAGCGCACCAAGAACCCTAGCTAGACACCCTAGACCCTAAACAGCCTAAACTCTAAACCCTAAGACATACAGTCCCCCTTAAGTAGATAGACTATGGGGCATATGGGGATCTTAATACAATATACCCGAAGCCATATTCTTTCTTCTTCAGGGGGACTATTCCCTAAACCCTAAATAGTAGTTTCCAGTTTCTTTTCCATTATCCCAATATAACTCTAATATAACCCCTGTCTACTTCAGGAACTATAGTACGTTTCCATTTTCTTTTCCATTATCCCAATATAAACCCCAATATTCTATCTACTTGAGGGAGACTACAACCCCAATATATACCCAGTTGACTACTATAACACAGTAGTTCCCATGTTCTTTTCCATTATCCCTATATAACCCTAATAATACCCCTACATAACCCCTATAAGAATTCCTATATCACCCCTAATACAACCCCCATATACCCCTAAACCCTTTAAGGATCCAAGTGCAAGTCTGGCTGCAACTTCTGGGCTTTCGACGTCAGCGCCCCCGGGGGCACTCACGACACCGTCGAAGGAGACATCGCCCAAATCTTGGCTTAGGGTTTAGGGTTTAGGCTTTAGGGTTCGTCTTGGCAGAGCAATGAAGACTCCCAGCACAAACAATCGTTCTAACTGCACACTAATATCCTAAAAGAGTCAAATTGTAAAAGGGAAACATGGTATTATGGTAAGAACATGGTAAGGCTGGGAATCATGATGTACTTCTGCAGTGGAAATTGCCCACCAGGGACCTGACATGGATACATTAAAACGGAGAGCAGGACTGAGTATAAGAATTCCTCAGAAAGCTGCTGCCGATCATTACCACTGTCACCATCGTCGCTGTCATCCTCATGACGGGACCCCAAACCCTAAACCGCGTGGCAGCAGCAATGCAGCAGTTGTCGTACTGGTTACAGAGCAGCTGTAGCCCTACAGTGGATACTAAAAGTCCTGCATGACCCTAGTATAACATGGCACCATAATTCCCAACATATATTGCCCCCCTTAAGTACTTAGAATATGGCGTATATGGGGATCTTATTATAATATACCCAAAGCCCAAAGCTATATTCTATCTACTTAAGGGGAACTACAATGTAGTAGGGTTCTGTAGGACTTTTACTACCCACCATTGTAGCAGTAGATTTTGAAGCTCCCACCTTGAATGAACAAATGCAAAGCTCCCAAGATTAGGGTGCCTTTTTAATACCCCTAAATATGAGGTGCCGTAATATAATCTACATCCGAAAGGGGCACCCTCTGAGAGCACAGCAATATGCATAAGTATGAAGCCCCCTCATGAGCATTAGACACCATGAAGCTACACTAATCGAACTGTTCTCGACATCTAGCTGATCGCAATGTCTGCAGTCAATGATCCACATCAAACTCCTGTGCGCCTGCACAGGACGGCAAATAATCTGCACAGATCTCCGGTAAATGCCCACATGTCGACATCATCAGTCTAATGCCACTCAACAAGCCCAGCATCCCCGTGGCATCTAATTGGTCTCGCCACCATCACGTAATTCCACTGAATAAGTCCTAGCAATCCTTGTGGCCCCCAAACCAGCCCTGCACATCAAACCTCTATCACCCCTCCAAGCCAACTCTACTCAACCTCACACCCCTCAGCGGGCCCCCAGATTTCCAAATCCTAGACTCCCAAACCCTAGACCTAAGCCCTAAACCCTAACCCTACTTATTATATTTTGGGGAACCCAATAGGCACAAAAACCATAACAATCCCCCTGCACCACTGGCTTGTGTCAGGAAGCCCATGGATGCCGCTAGCTGCAGGCCAACTGGAGAAGTGCTAAGCGGTGCAGGAACATTAATGACGCTCCCTTGCGCACTCGATGCCCCTAGAAGCCAGCATGATTTGAGCTAGATCTAGTCTAAAGCCCTAAACCCCTAAACTCCTTAAAGAGGGTTCTATCCGGGAGGGTAAGGGTGTCTGCAACAATTAGGTGCCTCTTTTTGGGGAGTCCCAACAATGGGACTGTAGTGTAGGGGGGTCAATGTTGGGTTGCCCTGAACTACCATGTAGAGCTGAGGTGCTAAGTGGGGCTTTGATAGAGCTGGGAAGTTGAACATGAGGCATTGCAGAATGGAGTAGGCCAATACTATAACTGTGAATGTACAGGTTACACTTACAACCTTATGAGCATGCTGATTCAGTGAGTGCTGGTCACACTGAAATTTCACTGAAAGTACTCTGCTGCATCTGAAAGCTGGCGCGGCGCAAGCAACATCAATGATCACCTCCCCTCTTGAAACAGACACCCAAGGATCAACACACTCTCCATTATTCCGGGGAGCGCTTCATAATTCATACGCGGGAGGATGAGATTACCAAACACGCCCCCTCGTACAGCTGCATGTGATGTTTCGTTGGCTCCATAGAATGCGAAAGCTAGCGAACACCACTACGCCCCATGTAAAAAGAAATATTGGCCCGCATCGGCTCGAATTAAAAGAATGCATGCAGCGGCGAAAGACAACTACGCACTGACTTTGGGCAGAAGCATGCAAAGACCGCCCTTCTTTTTTCCATGCGCGAGAGCTCTTAAGTCATAAGCGTAAAGAAGCACGTCAGCATTTCTCGGGACGAAGTCTCTCCCTCACGTTGACACCAGTTGACACCAAATAGCTCACCGCACCTGTAGACTTCAACAGGGCCCTGGCACTACTAGTACCATGTCCAGATGAATCTTGCTGCTTTATTCTCCACAAACTCATGCAGCCCGATGTCTGGAACCTTGGGGCTTTGACCTAGTCTGTCATGCTGACGTGAACTCGTGCTGACAATGCAACCTCTGGTGGGTTGAATTTGGTCCATTTGGTCGGGCATGATTAGTAGCTCAGCTTGCTTACCTTCCCTTCGCACCATGACCTTCCCAGCAAGGGATGAATTTGGCTTTCCGTTGAGAAAATGCAACGACTATGGCTTGCTGGCGCATAAGTTCTTAACTGGCGTGCCATGCAGGATCATGGACACTAGGCCCTTCAGAGGGCCAAGTAGCTGTGTGCGGCTCAGGCTACCAACGCACTCCTCCGCACCGCCACCTTCGAGAAAGGCCAACACGGGGAATGCGTATACAATGCACAAAATGCTAGCATGTAAGCATTTACTCATGGCTGTTGTTATAGTGCCCCTTAAGCTGATAGAATATGGGGTATATGGGGATCTTATTAAAACATAACCAGAGCCATATTCTATCTACTTAAGGGGGACCCTAAACCCTAAACCTCAGATTCCGTTTTCTTTCCATTATCCCTTTATCAACCCTATATCATACCCCCTATATTCCCTCATTCCCTACTAACCCTCAACCTTAAATAGTAGTCTCCATTTTCTTTTCCATTCCCTAGACCCTAAGCCCTAAACAACAGTTTGCAAATTTGCTTTGCATTGCCATATTTCTCGGAGGCTCAGTGGTTTTAGTGTAAGAAAGTTAATGATCCCTGTAAGCCATGTAGTAAGCCCGGTTATCTCCGTTAGCAACCTACTTACTCAGTCCCGATGACCCAAGTAGACTGCGTTGCTGTTAAGGAACTTAAATTAAATGGGTATATATAGTAAATAGTAGGGTTTCCCCAATATAGTAACTGAATTTAAGTTCCTTAACAGCAACCCAATATATTCCGCAGGAGAGGCGGACGTGCCTGTCGACCGTCTCTTAAGAAGCCAGCAGAACACCTGCGGCCTTCTGGCTCCGCCGTTTGTCTATGGAAATTGGAGGCTTGTAGGGAACGACGTGGTTCTTTAATGTGGAAATTGGGGATTCAAAATAGGAAATATATTGGTTAGGGTTCAGCGTTCACTGGCTGGTTGTTAGTAGGCCAGGGGCCCAGGGGCGCCTAAGTAGGGAATGAAGGAATGGAACAGAAAATGAAAGCCATGGACGCTGGGGTTTAGGGTTTAGGGTAAAGGCTGGGAAAGCAAATAGAAAGAGAACTGGAAACTGGGGGTTAACAGGGACATGTCCAACTACTGTTTAGCCTGTAGGGTTTGAGGGAAGGAACAGGAAATGAAAGCTACTGTTTAGGATCTAGGGTGTAGGAGATGCAAAAGCGAATGAAAGCTACCGTCCAGAGTCCGCGGTATGTAGAGAATGGAAAACAAAACGGGTACTACCTTAGGGGTTGAAAGAATGGAAAAGACAATGAAACTACTACATCGTTGTTGCTTGTGTAGGGCCTACTTTATGGTTCCATTCCTCCAATTGTCGACTGACAATCGGTAAGACAGCGGCACTTACTTCTCCCCTGGTGCTTTGGGCATGGCATGCTTTTTGAGGTTTGTATACGGGTGCAGCCTCTTCTTCCCGTCTACTCACCAGAACTGGGTCGTGAACTTCAGAGCATGTGGCATTGGGGCAGCCGATCTGAGATTCTCTGGCTCGAGCCTTTCTGCTGTGGATGTTATGTATTCCATCCCATGCCAGCAAAGCCACTGTACAAATGCTGAGCATTGGGAACTGGTGTGCCGCCAAGAGGTGGTGCTCTGAGGAGCACCACCCCCGAGCTGGCACAGACAAAAGTGGTGTGCGGCCAAAACATGTTAGGCAAGCACAACTGTACCTAAAATTGGATTGTGGGCAGCAGTGCCAGAATGTGCCAAAGACTGCTGCACAACTGGCAGACACCCGGGCTCTGCGCCCAGAAACAACGCCGGAATTCAGCGAAAGGAACGGATAAGGTCTGCTGGTCAGGAGCCGCAAGACATATATAACCAAGGGACTTATAACCCCATGTATGACTATCCTAAGCCTTAAGCCGCATGTGCCCCTATAAACCCCCTTACTGGCTTATACTCCCCCCTTAAGTAGATAGAATATGGGGTATATGGGGACCTTACTATAATTTACCCAAAACCATATTCTATCTACTTAAGGGGGACTGTAAATCAGGGGATGATCAGGGTCCTTGGCAGCCTTCGAAGCTCAGGCCCTGAGGGCCGCTCGCAAGGCCTGCAAAGACTCGGTGCTGGTGACCTGGGCAAGTCCATAGGGGATCATAAGGTAATGTAGGATTAGATAGGTGATATAGGGATAATGGAAAAGGAAATGGAAACTACTGTTTAGGGTTTAGGGATTATAGGGGTGATATAGGAATGGAAAAGAAGATGAATGGAAGCTGTTGTAGTGTTTTAGTTTTGGGGTTTGGGTCAGGGGACAACGGTTCTGGGTATAGGGCTATGGAGGGGTTTGGAATAACGCAGATCAAATCGAAAAGAACACGTTAAACGAAACGGACGCTGGGTTCACATAGGGAGCGTATGAGCTACAGTCAATATTTCCTACATAATGTATTAGACATGGGTAGTTCCCAAAATTGGGGTCCCATTCTGGCATCCCTAAATATTAGCTGCCGTACTATACTCAATAGCCAAAAGGGGCCCGTAATTTTGAGAACAACCCGCATGGATTCCTTGTTAGGGACTAGATTAGGGACTTTTCTAGTCTACAGTAGGGACCCCTATTTCCATTGCTAGGGGTCCCTTGATAAGGCCAGTATTGGCAGTAGCTCATATGCAGGGTAATTTAGAATAATTTCAATTCCCAGTTTAAGGCCATGTTGGTGCTATTCCCTATAAAAAGCACCATCTAGGGTGAGGTCGGGTGAGGTCGCCTTAAGTTGCCCAGGCTCATTTGGGATAACATTGCTTGGTGGGTCAGAGAGGCCCTTTAAGCCGTTTGGAAAGGGGGAGAACTGGGGATATTATATGGCTTGTAGGAAATTCTGAACCTACTTACTACGTCCACCCTTCCTCAAGTATGGTTATCCCTATTGATATAAGGAGTCAGTAAAACTTTGTTACTAGTCTTTGCTGTTACCACTGCGACTCTTGAGCTGTTCTTGGTTTTGTTACTACTAACACGTAAGGGGGGCTCCTATACGGACCTCAGGCCGCAGTGGGAAGACAAAAACTTGGGGGTCAGGCAACATGCCTACATATGTGCGCTTGCGCCGTTGCTCTAAGTGCGCTTCATGCTGGTTGGGAATCAAAACTATGGGGAAACATCCTGGATTCATGGAGGCTGAGGCTATGAAGAAACTGCTTGCCAGAAGCCACGACACCTGCGCTAGCTCCCCTGCCGCCCCGCAGGAATCCCCTCGGCGGAAGGCCAGGTAGGATTTTCGGAACCTTCCACCAACAGAGTCCAAGGTTCAGGTGTTCTTACGACACATCCTGTCACTGTGCAAAAACCGGGCCTGTCCATGCTCTCGACATCAATGCCCATCGCAGCCAGCTTATCCTGGGTTGCTGTTAAGGAACTTAAATTAAGTTACTATATTGGGGAAACACTATTATTTACTATACATACCCATTATGGTAACTTAATTTAAGTTCCTTAACAGCAACCCAGTATCGTCTGAGAGGAAAGGCTCCGGGAGCTTCACATCGCCAATCTGCACAGCACTTGCATCCACACCTGTGCACCCACAAGTCATGCAAGCGTGCAAGGTTCAGTGTCTGGGATACATGGAAGTCAAAATATGGCTCACTGCCTTAACCCAGACCTCTGTCAGAGTCTAAAAATTAGATCCCTTCTATAACACAATGGCAACCTCGAAAAGTCTCTACATAATCCCGATGGGATTCTAGGAGATCTGATTTTTAGATCCCCTTCAGGGTCTGGGAAGGGCTTAACTTACCTCTAGTTAGCAGGAAATGCAGCACTGGAAAAGAACATGGAAAGTACTATCTCATTGGCTTACTTTGAGACTGCAAGAAGAATCAATTGATTTTTCTTGTTAGCTTGAGGTAAGACACCCGGCGCCCTAAACCCTACATATCCCAATAAATATATAAACCACAGGTTCCATGTCATGTCCTGTTTGATTCTGCATTCTAGGGGTAGTGCTGTTGAGACAAGAAACCAGCATGACCTTACTATGCCATAGTTCCATAATTTCCAAGGTATGCGGTACTTAGGTTCATGCAGGGTTTTGTAGCAACCCTAAACCCTAAACTCTCTAAACCCTAAAATTTTGAACTCCCTAACCCTTAAATCCTAGACTCCCTACATTATACCCTTGACTCCCTAAACCTTAAACCCCCCAAAACCTTGCACATTATGAACTCCCCTAAACCCTAAACCCCAAACCCTAGACCCTAAACCTGGCCTCCGTGCGTTGGATTCAGCAAGGTTGGGATGAAGGCCAAGCCGTCGCGTGTGGAACGGGAAAGTAGGCGCTCAGCAGGGTCCTCCCAAAGCTCAGACATAGGGTTTTGGGTGTAGGGTTTAGAGTTTGGGGTTTACGGTTTAAGGTTCGGGGTTCAGGGTTTAAGGTTTAGGGTTTAAAGGGTTTAAAGGGTTTAGAGTTTGGGGTTTAGGGTTTAGGGTTCGGGGTTCAGGGTTCAGGGTTTAGGGTTTAGGTTTTAGGGTTTAAAGGGTTTAGGGCTTAGAGTTTAGGGAAACCCCTAGAGGGACATATAAGGGTATATAGGGAGGATGGAAAAGAAAATAAACGGGACTATAGTAATCAGGGTTGAGAGCTACGGGGGTTACACCAGGCAAAATGGGCGGTCCTTTAATAATGTTACCCCACCATTGGTGGATCAAATGGAGGAGAGAGAGCATCCTAAATGGAATGAAAACTGGAAGTGTATAGGGAGAGAAACAGTAGTAGTACGGTGGATGACTAAACAAACCCCAAATCCACAACCAACTGATGGCAGGTTGCCCGGTTTAGGGTTTAGCGCCCCCCAAGCCCTAAACCCTACAAACACCTATATAACCCGTATATAGATATGTATAGCTACATATATATATATAGCCTATATTACCTTAGAAAAGCCCTATATAACTCCTATATAACCCCTACATAACCCCTATATGACCCATATATAACCCCTAGAAAAGCCCTATAAAAGCCCCATATAAGTAACCCCGATATAACCCCCATATACTCCCTATATAATCCCGACACAATCCCCATGTGACCCCTATGTAACCCCTTATATTATGACCCATATATAACCCCTATATAGCCTATATACTCCCTATATAATCCCTACATACTCCCTATAAAAACCCCATATAATCCCTATATAATCCCTATATAACCCCTATGTAACCCCCAAACCAGAACTTTTACACCAGGCCTGCTGCACCTCCCGCCACATGCGCTCCACAAACTGCTCCGCAGTACCTTGAAGTAGGGGGATGGCCCAAGGGAGCTATAGGCTTAAGGTTTAGGGTTCAGGGTTCCCTCAAAGGGGGCTTATATGAGGGATTATATAGGTGGACGGTGTAGGGTCTCAACTCCTTAAATTGGGTTACACAAGTATATAGGGGAGCGTTGTACGGTTTATTAAGGGGGATACGAGGAGTTTAAGACCCTGGCTCAAATCAGCAACGTATTCAGCAAGCTTGCCGCCAGCATAGCTGAAGCTATGCTGGACAGAGATCAGCTGCTTTCTGGAGCCAGGCAAACTGACGGAATGATCCCGGCCCAAGCACTTAACTCTGGTTGTTAGTAGGGAATATGGGACTATAATCCCTATATAATCTCTATAGAATATGTTCCCTACTCACAACCAGTAAGTACACCGGCATCCCGCTGAGAGCCCTGCCTCCATGGAAGAGAAGCTCGTTGAGCCCTCACGACATGGGAGGTTTCATTGAGCTGTGCAGAGACTGCGCATCATGGAAGGGGAAGCTACGTAGTGAAGAATCTGAATGCACTTAGAGCCCGGACATCTTCCTCCGCTGCATTTCTGGAGTGGGAGGAATGGGTCCACATTCACGTCTGCAAAGTGGCTTGTCCGAGCACGCTTATCATTATCGTTAGTTGTTTCCATTTTCAAGACTCATCAGGTTGTTTAGGTTAGGGATTCAAAGCAAACCGCTGTTGCGGAGGGTCCTCGAAGTGTGGGCAGCAGATCGATGGCAGGGCACCTTCAAAGTGCTTTTGGATTTTTTCAGCAGCAGAAGCAGCAGCCGCAGCACAGACATGCACTGGAATTTTCAAAGGCTCACCGGGAGAGGCGCAAGGCATGGGGACGGCATGGATCATGAGTTGGCAAGGCAGAGCTTTTGGGTAGCAAGGCGTGGTTATGAAGCCTGTGGAAATATAACCCGCATATTACCCCAAAATAACCCTAATGCTACCCCAATATAACCCCAATAGTCAGCCGTGTATTTATGCTTGATCAGATTCCCTCCTTGAGCCTTCCAGCCTTCAGCACCCTCTCAATCCAAAACCCTCAGTGTTGGAAAGACACCTGCTCGCAAGGAGCGGTGATTGCTGCACAGTGGCCAATCTGTTATAGAGTTCAAGGACAATGACAGCACCACTACCACTACTACTGCTACTACTGCTGCTGCTACTTCTTCTACTGCTTCTTCTTCTACTACTACTACTACGACGACTACTACGAGGATGAGGAGAAGGGGAAGTTACTAGTACTACCACCCGACCCACTGCCATCACGACATGGCCGATGCTGACAACCGAGCATTCCGGAACCTGGAGCCATCCTCTCCCAAAGGCACAGGTGCACATGCCAAGAGCCTGGGCATGGTCGCGGGGATTTAGGGTCTGCGGCATCTGGATGCTTCAAAGATCAGCTCAATCGTGGCAGCTTTTGAAAGATAGTAATTCTTCGGAAACATCTCCAAATCCACCTGGATTTGGGGTATGCATATGTGGTTCACACCAACACCCCCAACACCTCATCAATGCGGCAATCGCAGTCTAGATAGTTGCATCCGCCTTTCCCAACAAAATGTCCGAGGATCGCAACGGGTCTATGATTTGGTAAGTGAGGTAAGGCTACGGTGGTTGGTTTCAGAGGCTCCAACTGAGCAACATCCGCAACACCAGCCCCTGCCGCAACAAGCATGCAAACTGCACCAGCATTTTGCACCAGAGTGCTAGCAGCTGCAAGCCAGCTTGCCGAACAACTCAGGAGGGTTCTAAGACGCTCGCGCCAGGAAACTTCAAGGGTTCTTGCTGAACCTGCCCTTGGCGCACGCGGCTACACTCTAAACTGAAGTATAGGCTTGAATGCCTCTGGCATGACGAGCAAGCTTGTCATGACATGGTTCATAGCTTGGAGTCTTATGGGTAGCCCTAAGTGCACTATGAACAGGACAACTACAGGGCCCAGCATAAAAACAACTCTAGCTCCACAAATGCCCATGAATCTCCAAGAAAGCATGACTCTCCGGCAAGGCCGCTATCTCTCAGGGCTTCCCACATGTAGTCTGCCATCTGTCGAGACTGATTGGACCGTTCTGCCAGCGCAGGCCCTAGTGGATGCCACACCACCCTGACCAATACCAAAGACCTGTCCAACAGCGGAGTGTGGTATAGCAAAGTAAGCATTAAAACTAATACAAATATGATATAGGTATAGTATAGTATAGTATAGTATAGTATAAGTATAGTATAGTACAGTCTAAGATAATATACTATAGTAAGAGTATAGAATGGTATAATACATTATAATGTAATAGAGTATAGTAGAGCATATTATGACAAAGTATCGTATAGTATGATAAACCTTAATTAGTACATTTTCGTCACTGGGCAGGGGCTGAGGAGTCCTATCCTATGGATCCTAGAAATAAAACCTCCCCAGGTGTTGGGAGCTTTGGGCCTGAATGCTGCAGAGGACACCCCAAGCGGCGGTGGCAGCCAGGAGCCCTCCAGTGCCAAGCGGAAGCGCGCGAGTTTTGATCGTCAAGCAAGCCTCGTCCAAGCTTTGCTCACTGAAGTCGCAAATCTGTGGGGCTAGCCCATGAATGGCTGAGAAGGCGAAGCCGCCCACACCCTCAAGGAAGCTAGCGAGGAGGCCGATTGCAAACAGGTCCAGTAGACAGAAGGTGGCTGATAGGCCTGCTATAACTCTTGCTGTGCAGGGTGCCTTTCCCGACATGGCCAGGAAGAAGGCTGCGACATGACCAATTGGACAGACTAAAGCTGTGACGATTATCATCGCACGCATTGCTGCATCCGACTGCCCAAGCTGGCTAGCACTGTAAGAGGCTGGGTCAATCAAAGCTCCGGCAAGGCCCCCTGTGACAGCATGCAGAAAATCACAGAACCACCACACGCAGACGCCTGCGATCATTACGACGGCAGCCAGCCCTTGCACAACCTTCAGGGAGAGAGGTGCGTTGCCTCCAGCCCAGTCTTTCTCTCTAACCTCCCGTGGCAGCAGCTTTATTAGCAAAAGAGCGGCCAGCAGCGTGCTGATCGAAGAGAACCAAGAGACATAGCCCCCAGTCTGCAAACTCAACCCCAGAGCCTGTGTAAGCCCCAGGGGGAGGGGCACCTCATTGTTCAGGACGAGCATCGTGTTGCCTGTGGTCTCCAGCTCTGAAAGTGCAAAGCGGCCCAGAATCACGGCCGCAAGAAGCAGCTTCCGTCTATGCTCTGCAAGGATAGGGGTCATCCAGACGAGGATCAAGATTCCATGACACATCAAAGCCGCAACCATTGACATGAAGAACCACATGATTTCACAGTACAATGACCCGCCCAGCCGAAACTGAACGCCCGAGCCGAAGAAGGTGTACAGCAGCAAGGTGTCATCCTGCAAAGTTGGGAGTGCAGTTGCCAGAGCATGAAAACAGTACCACCGGCAACACGACAACCACGACGACTATGATGGCTGCCTGCAATGGCGCCACCACCTACTACGTACTCCCCAAGCCACAAGCACGCAGCCAGCACGCCTTGAAAATGCTTCCACTGCCATTGTGTGTCAGGCTTACTCCCGCTGAGGCAGCGAGGAGAAAGAAGTTGGCCAAGACCCTCGACACCAGGCCAAAGGCAATGAGGATACCTGGCTCTCTGGTGCTTGGCAAGGAGTGAAGGGCTGGGCTTCGGGCAAGGGATCGTCTACGATCTAGAAAAAACGCTTGGAAGCTCGTCATTGAGTCATATGAAAATCGGCCACCACAGTAAACAAAAATGGACAAACAGCACCTACAAAACCCCCGAGAGGCTTACAGTGCCAAAGCCCCTGCCCCGGATGAGCCCCGCAAAGTATGCTGCCGCTCCTTGAACTAGAGAACCTGACCCAACTCTGTACAGCTTTTCCTGCTTTGTAGCTGCTGGTACTTTGAACATCGAGCTCCAAGTAGGATTGCAAAAGAGTGACCTCAAACTGAGATAATTTCCTGAAACCCTCTTCACAACTGTTGAGAGGCCCACCGAGAAACACTAAGAGCTACCTTCCAAGCCATACCAAAGTCACCCAACGCTGTCTACAGCGACAACGCACCTGCTATACACTCCTGCATTCACTTCCCAGGGTTACACAGGCTTGTAAGCCTAGGCGCTGACTGCCGCCGTGCTTATCTTGGCCATGGAGGTCGGCCAATGGGGTACTCCCAGCCAGCATTCCTGAGCGGCGGGTTGGGCTTTTCCATGCTTTCATATCGCAGCTCGGGTTAGATCATACGAAGCACTCTCCCAGCACTACGCAGTTTTTCCAGCAATGAAGTGCTTCTTGGATCCCTGGGGCAAAGGTAACGTCAAAAATTGAGGTTGCACTCCGTCTTGAGTTTAGTTGATAGGCTGGCTTGTCCACAGAACCCCTTTCTATGAAATGCTGATCTAGAATCTGTTGCCAAAGGCTTTTTTGTGTTCGCGGACCGCGGGGTGCAGTCATCCTGTTGAAGGAGTTGGCCGAGCCTGAGCTGGATTTCAACGCTTTGTAAAAATCATGGGTCACTTCTTCGGGGTTCCGGGGTCTGCAGGCGGGCAGAATGGGATTTAGAATAACAAAGGGCTTACCCTCGAATTGGTTCTCAAAGTCATGGGCCCAGTTCGCTGCGTCGTGCAATGCAAACCATGAATCATGTTGGGTGCTTGATGGCGGGCTCACAAAAACAAATACCTGTTTCCTGACAGAAAACGAACAAGTGATTTCAAAACATGGCCAGAAGCTGTGAGCCGAAGGTGAGGGCGAAAGACAAGGCCAGTGCTATAACTCCGCTCACCAGCCACAGCTGCATGCAGCTGTCAGGAACATAGCGGTAACCAAGCGAGTCTCTGTCCCCACCCTTCTGCAGCACACTTTCAGAGGTTTCAGTACACTTCTTCAAGGCAGCATCCCGCACTTGGTGGTACAAGTGGGATGCACTCTGGGTCCTCACAAGGTACTCGCGAAACTTCTCCACAAGGCTGCAGATCTCAGGGTGCATCTCACAAAGCTCTTTGATGGGTTCCTGCATGGGGCCCACTTTTGGGATCACTTCGAGGTCTGCACCGCCATCCCAGGTAGCGTTGACCGCTTGGATGTCGAGCTTCGCCAATGGGGACAAGAGGGCACAAGTGACGCTGGGCGGCAACTGCAAGTCCAGGAGGCTCCAGAGGTCCACAACCTGAGTTCTCTTCTAATATGACTGCTGTTATTGCAAGTTACCTCGCTCTTCTTGTATCATTTTTGATACGACCCATCTCCTTCCACAATGCTACATGGAGCAGAGGGAGCAGTACCACCACCACAGCCACCGTCACCAACAAAAACGCTGACTTCATCACCGGCAGCATCACCACCCACCACCCACCACCACCGCCGCTACCGTCGCTAAGCAACCCGCGCATGTTTTTTAGATGTTGCCTGCTTGGACCCAGGATAGATGAAACCAGCTTTTAACTATATTGTACGTACAGAAGAAGCTTCTCCAAACAGGGTCCAGGAACCACGTCCATCTCCACAGTCGCTGCACCGCAGGGCACTATCACACTCATCAAGCCATCTCCCCCCAATGACTCCACCTCGGGGGTTAAGGGGGTTTAGGGCTTAGGGCTTAGGGTTTATGTGAACTCCTTGAAGGCCTTATCCTTATGTGGCGGTACTCAGTAGTCCGTTCAAGGCAATGGTAGTCTCATGACAATCCCTCACGGCCTCTATGGATCCGTTCACCGACAGGCTGGGTCGCCAAGGGGCTTCCTGGGCTATGGTCAATGTCAGTTGTACATCAGGTCCCGCGTAAGAAGCAGCTTAGAAGCGGAACGCTGACTCCTAATACACAGGCTGCAGCCCAAAAGCTTGTACACTCCAACACCTTGAGACCGTATATGCCCAGAAAAATACACAAACAACTCATTCCGTACGAGCAATCTGCCAAAAATCTCCCCAAACAACTCTCTCCACCCCAAAAAAACCCAGCTTCTGCGGTTGGACACTTTACTGCAGCCGTCGAAGCCAGCAAACTAGTCTTAGCCTCGGAAGGCACCAAAAGGCGCAGCTTGCTCACCTTTGAAGGGACGTTTTAATAAACTGGGTTCCTGTTGAAATACAATTAAACAAGATCTTTCTCTTTTTCTTTTTTGATATTGGGCCCAGGTACCCATGAAATGTAAAATTTTGTTCTACAAGAGCCCAGTTAAAGCTTTTCGTGAATTCCCAAGAAACGATCCACGATTTGTCCACGATTTGTGGAAACCCTTATCTGGAGTGCTTGGGGAATCTGATGTCCAGCCTGGGTTCAGGGCTCACCCATGCTCTTGGCTCATAGAAGTTTTAGATTTAAGAAAAACAGCTTTGGCTACAATCAAGCGCCCAAACCCGAAACCCTAAACCAGGAGCAGTTTACAGGCAGAGGCCTGCTTGGGCCCCAAAACCCCCGGTAAGAAAAGCAAAAAGTTGCTGACCCTAAGAGTCTAAATGCTGAAGCTCAAATTGAACCTCAAAATGCTAAATAAAGATGCTGGCTGATCTTAAAATGAGAATCGGAGAGCTGATTCTAAGCCCGACTTTCTTTCTACTTGCATGAGTGGCTGGAGACTTAAAGGCTTAAACAGTGCTTCCTGAGCGACCCCTTAAGGAGCTTGCTTGAAGGGATCTTGTTTAGATTGATGGAACCCCCTTAAGGGTGTAGCAAATGTTTTCACGGTCAGTCGTCTCGGAAACGTTTTATGATTCAAATCTGTTGAAACTCAAGTCAAATGTTTTCACAGTTGACTAATACCCAATTAAAATCAATGTCCATTCTGATCAAAGCCGATCTAAAACCAATTAAACCTATCGAAAACAAGTGTCACACATAATCTGAAGTTTATTTAAAATCCGATCATCATGCACATAAACCCTGTTAAAACCAAAGTCAAGCCAACTTCAATCTTAATGAACATCCAGAACTAACTCAAATCAGCTGCAGATACATGCCCCACAAAAACATTCGAATCAAAGGCAACCTTCTATATAAATCCTACCAAGAACCAGTAAGACTCTCGCTCTTACTCCAGCTGTTGCTACTTCGGCTTAACTGTATTACCTCGACTTATTTTTTCCTTTTCGGATCTCGCGCATCAAAAATAGTGGGCTCAGTTATTATTGTAGGGGAGGTACGGGGAAGGGGGCACCATTCATCAAGAGCGCGGATTGGGATTTGTTCGGAGTTTAGTTTCTTCCTGTTGATGGTTGCCCGTGACAGCTAAACACTGGCACCATCTCAACTTAGCCCACGTTACCCCAGGGAGAAAAAAAAGATCCTTTTTACATAAATATGAGGAATCCCATACCCAAAAAAGTATAAAGGATCCCGAATATTGATCCAGTCAATGTGCTCCCTGGCAATTCAAGCAGTTGAGGAAGCGCAGGTGGTGCGGTTTTCATGAAAGCTTCTGGTGTATTCCGGTGGCGCAAGCGAAATTCACAGTACAGTGCCCTGTGGCATGAATTGTTGGAGTCTTTTTTGTTCTACGTGAGGGTTCTCTGGGAACATTGCCCTTTTGTGCATGTTAGTCAGGCTTTGAGAAAGTTGTCGCTACCGTGGGTTGTTCTTCCTGATTCCGGTCCATGATTCTTATTTGTCTCTTTGCCCAGATTGCTCTCATTACTCCCTGGCGAGGGTTCTTTGATGCACGGAATTTCTGCGGGGTCTATTACCCTAGCCATCTGGGAACCTCAAAACCTGAACCCGAAAAACTATGCCTGTAATTACAGGGTCAGAAATAACAAACGTTTCAATAATGGCCTTTCAGAGGTGGCCCCCGCATATAGCACAGCCCAAAGGCATTAGGTTCAGATTTAGGATTCTGTGCCACGAACTTCTCCGAACCAAAGCATCCCTGGTATTCCCTAAACCCTAAACTCTAAACCCTATAAACCATGACTCCGGGACTACCTTGAACCCCTGGCACCTGATTCATGCCCTCGGCTAGGAGCTCCCTAAGCTTGAAGGACGCATGCAGCGGAAGCTTGAAGCTTGGCATGTCCGATAAGCTCTGGTTCAAAATCCTAAGGTCTGGTATTAGGGTTTAGGGTTAAGGGTTTGGGGTTTAGGGTTAAGGGTTTAGGGGTTTAAGGTTTAGGGGTTTAGGATTTAGGGTTATAGGTGGTTATTTAGGGTTATATAGGGTTGTTTAGGATTTAGGGCTATATAGGGTTAGCAGACCCGTTGTGAATAGGGCTCATATACGGGTATATAGGGTGTAGGTTATATGGGGAATATAGGGATTATAGTGGAAAAGAAAATGGAAACTACACAGGTCTGGTCTAGTGACTAGCGGGGGGATTAGGGTTCAGGGTTTGGGGTTATACTGGGGTTTAAGGGGATAATGGAAAATAAAATGGAAACTGCTGCTTAGGACTGGTTTTGAAGGGGTTAGGGCTTTGAGTGGCAGACTTCGAGTGGAGGTCAGGGTTGGGGTTTGGATCTCAAACGCTACCCAAACCATGAGCCCTAAACCCTGAACCCGAAACCCTGGACGGAAGAAGGAGCCAAAACAAAATCAAACCCCAATCAATTCTAGGATTTAGAACCTCGACATATCGGGTTAGGACTACTCAGGCCTAGGCCTAATCTGACTTCGAGAAATCTCAAGTTCATCCTCCCCGTACGAAATAATGAGCCGCACTTTTTTCATGGTGTGCATTCCCCGCAGTATACTACATTGGGAAAAATTGGGATTGCATATT